TATATATATATATATATACATATACAAGGCCAATAACATGAAAACATGCTTGACAGCATTAGTCATCAGGGAAATACAAACCAAACCACAATTAGACACTACTGCACACTCACTATGACAGCTAGAATGAAATTCCAAGTGTTGGTAAGAATGTGGAGAAATCAGAACCCTCATACACTCCAAGTGGGAATGTAAAATGGTACAGATGCTTTGAAAAACAGCCTAGCAGTTCCTCAGATGATTAATGCATTTACCATGAGATCCAGCAATTCTATTCCAGCTATACACTCAAGAGAAATGAAAATATGTTCATGTAAAATTTCGTATACAAATGTTTATAGCAGCATTAGTAATTATAACCAAATGGCGGAAGCAACCTAAATGTCCATCACCTGACAGATAAACAAAATGTGGTCTATCTGTAAAATAAGATTATTCAGCTACAAAAAGGAATGAAGTATCCATATGTGCTGTATGGACAGACCTTAAAAATATGCAAAGTGAAAGAAGCAAGTCACAAAAGGCCACATTTGTATGCGTCCTGTCAGGTGAAATGTCCAGAATGGGTAACTCTTCCAGAGGCAAGTATATTAATGGTTGCCCTGGGGTTTGGGGGCGAGTGCAGGGATGGACAGGAGGGTGACAGATAAGGGTACAGGTTTTTGTGAAGTAGTTAAAATGTGCTATAAGACTGTGGTAATGGTTGCACATCTCTGTGTATATACTGAAACCACTGAATTATTGTGTGGCATATGAATTCTCTCAATAAAACTGTGGAACAAAAAAAAAATTGTTCTTCAGTCACACTGCCCATGTGGCCAGTGGCTGCTGGGTTGAGTAGGGCAGATACAGAACATTCCCATCACTGTAGAAATCTATTGGTTTCAAACCAAATTGTCCTTTCCTGTTTCTGCTTTTTTGCTTCACTACTTCTTAGTTCAGTAACAGCCCAGCATGATTTAATTTACATAACTAATTTTGTAATCTTTTTATTTTAGACAACCAAGTTCTTCCTTACACCTTGAAGCTTCTAGCAGAAGAACTTAACAAGCTCAAAGCAGAGTTTTTGGCAGACCTAAGACAAGGAAACAAAAAATACCTGTGCTGTCAACAAACCACTGACATACCAGATATTATTTCTTTTTTTCATTATGAGAAAGACAACGTTTTGAAGAAATATTTTCCAAAACAGCATTAAAACTTTTGCATCTCCAATTAAATGTCTGATTTTGGTTAAGTTTTACAAACTAAAACAATTTGTATTACTGGATGTTTTCTAGGCCAATGATGTGAACTGCCAGACTTTTTTTTTAAATCAGTCATGCTGAACAATCCATGTCATAACAAAAAGTAACTGTCAACCCCTTGTCAGTGGTGACATGGATAATTAAACATCAGAGACAGCCTTCCTCACTTACGTGCCAGGACTCTTAGGGTAGGGCTGGCAGTGTAGGATCTTTGATTGAATGGATCTTAAATAAAATGGATTGAATGAATGAATGGATCTTAAATAAAATGAATAACTAGAAAGGAGACAGGATGCAGATGTAGGGCGTTGTTTTTTTAACTCCTGTGACAAACCTCATGAATAAGGGAGTCTACATGAAATCAAAGTAGCCACAGAACTTTTTTTTTTTTTTTAACATTTACATACTGGAAAATGACTAAAAAACTAATTGGATCCTGGTTTTCAAAAAGAAAATTGAGATCATTAGAAAGTGTTATTTTTTTATTCATATATTACAAAAGCAAAGCTTCATTCACAATATGAACTGCATACTAGATATAGTTATTTCAGCATTAAACTGCTTTCTGGAATTCCTGAACAATAGTGTTTTGCAACCATACTCGTTTTAGTTTTGCATACAAAATATGTTCTTTACATCAAAGTACATATTAACAAAAACAAGTTCTAGAAATCATATACCCTCTAAGACTATTTAATGAAAAAAGTCCTCAGCGGGGAATTTTGTTTTTAAATAATACATCCATTTGATAAATATTTTTGTAGAACTTAAAATGAGGTTTATCTCAACATTTTTTTAGTCCCTTTGTCAAACAGTTCTGCAGATGAATGGCAAGCACTTATTTCTAAAATGAAATAGCACTGGAAAACATTCAGAGTAAAAGCCTAGCCTTTACTTGAATTTCAAGAAGTTGAAAGCTAATTTCAATTAGCTACATACTATATTAGTAAAATCTGAAATAAAATTATTCTGTTAATCTCTTCACAGTTTCTTAAAAAATTATTAGTGGAGATAAATTATCTACCAACAGTAAAAATCTAAACTTATGTTCACTGAACAAAAATTGTTTCAGAAAGTTGCCAATGAACAGCAAAGTACTATAAATAGTGCATGTTAAATTTTTCCCAACAACTCATTTCTATAAAAGATTTTATTTTAAAAAATGGGAGAAACATTCAATACTTAATGGAAGACACTAACATCTTTCCAAATACAGAATTTATCTCACAGAAAATTTAAATAAAATCCTAAATCTTTTTAAAAATACACTTCTAAAAAAGGTTTTAAGGTAGATTTAAGAACTAGTGCATTTAGAATTGTAGCTTTCAAGCATTGACACCTTTGGAATACATACTGTGCTCTTTAAGTCATAGGAAAAGTGGAATTATTTGTAATTATGAAAAATATTTTCTGTTTAAGTGAAGATACACCTCTAAAACATCAATCTTTAGTTCCAGAAAAAATCTGTCACTATTTGGCCCAGGAATGGAGTTAAGAAGCTGGTTTAACAAGAATTCTTTCTTTCTTTAATGAAAACTTTCATTTCCTATCTTGGGATATTGCTTTTATTTGAAGAATAAGGGTGAGAGGGAAGAAAACTGCAACAAAAGCTACAAATGACAGCAACCTGTTTCTTTCTGGCAATAAATAAATAATAGGGCCAAGGTACACATTTGGAAATGGCTGCAGTAAAATCTGAGCAATGAGTGATTTAACCAACAGAGAGAAACCGAATTTTAGATTCAGCCCAGATTTGACAAGGAATGCAGTTCTAGCTGTTTGGAAAAACTCCTGGATGCTGTTCTTTCAACGGTGCTGTTGAGATTAGATTGGAAATTAAATCACAAGAACTCATCTTAATGGCTTTCCAGCATTTGGAAGGGGGGGCAGAAGATCCATTAACCTGGTACTTGGGGGTTTTTGTGGACACATACCAATCCCTTTTAATTATAAAGAAGTAGAGGTTCTTTTTGGTTCATAAATACTTAATAGGTAGCATATTCTCTTTAAGAAGCCAATTAGTAACTTTAAAGATCTGAACCAAATTAAAAGTAAAATTTTTGTAAAGTACACAGAAACCAGCAGTTAGTAACAATATATTTTATTGTTTGACCAACTCTCTTCAGAGTAAGCTAGTTATTACACAATATAAAAACAATAGCCTCCTATTCAAAATTAATTAGTCTAGATGTATTTAGCAAGTCTTATTTTTGTAAACAAATACCACATTTAAATGCATTTTATATCTATTTTCACACTTTATCCTTTTCTACTAAGGCGACAATTCAATGACAGCTTCCATATAGTTTTGTCACTGTACATGAAAAACTGGTCAAACTGCAAATAAGCATCACAACTTGAATTTACAGAAAATAGATGGCCAATTCTGAGGAGGAGACCAGAATTTCTTCTGGACGTGTAGTCTCATTTTTAAAAATATTATTTCACCATTATATTTTTCCATATGTTTCCACGCCCACCTGTTCTTGGAAATTATGGGCAATAAATGGATAGAAGGCAGGAATAAGAAACCAGAGACTTTTTTTTTTGAAGGACTGCATTTCCGAGGAATAAGATGGACGGCTTCCACTGCTCCTCGCTGGCTATCAGAGGGATAGGAAGAATAACAGAGTCCAAGTGACCGACCTCACCTGACACTAGTGACATCAGAATGAAGGACTTAAATGTAGGTTCAAATTTTTTTAAAAGGCATCTTCATAAATGATCCTATTTCTAGAATTCTCATGTATTTGCCTGTGGTTTTTATGATTAACTATAATAAAGAGTCCGACAGAAAATTAATTAAAACTAGAAACTGAATAAACAGGTATTTTAAAAATTAAACCCCGTTTTTTATTTCAAGTCTTAAGTTTCCTTTCTTTTCAGAACTTTTATCTCATATTTTTATAACTTTAATTTAAAAAGAATTAACTGCTTTCCTTTCCCTTCATAGAAAATAGAAACATTTACTATACTGAAATACTTTATTATCAGTTGAAATGAAACTAGCAATTCAACTTAAGCTATGTGAACTAAATAGTATTTCAATTAAGAGCATTTTAAAAGAAATTCCTCTACTAAACACTGAAATAAGTTGTAACAATTTTTTTGAGAATTCTACCATTTTCAAATGTGGCAGAAATACCATCTAGCTGAAGTGTATATACTGAAATATCAAGATAAGCCTTGAAGTTTTTATGGACCATAAATGTGGCAAATTTAAGTGAATACCTGTAAGATTATGATTGCACTCCAATTCTCAAATGTCTAAATGAAAAGGAAAAACAGACAGCAATGTGTCTAATGGTATGTTCTAATACATATGATTCTGACCAGATTTTTAAGGGAAAAAAAGAAAAATTATGTTAGCACTGTCAAATTTATATTCAATAAATACAATGTATAAATGTTAAATTAGCCAACACCTTACTAGGGATGACAAAACAAGCCAGACAAAACTAAAAAACACAAAAAGGCAAAACCCAAGTTAAAACATAAGGTGACTGTTCTCTATCAGTGTTGGTTATGTTGCCCCCTTGCAAAATGACAGGCGAAATCATACTTGTTTTTACATTTGCATCCACATATGTTACACTGAAAAGGATTTTCATACCCATGACATCCCATATGAATAGTGTAAAGGATGTTGTCGGCAAAGTACATGTCACAGTGCTGGCAGTGGTGCAGAAGCTGCGGGTCCTGGACTGGCAGGGTGGGGGCGGGTGTGCTTGGCTGGCTGTTTCCTATGCTAGGAGTACTCGTGTGGGCACTCGGTTCACTGCTCGGACCCGCCACGGGGCTGCAGTTCCTCTGAGTGTGCGACGGCCGAGGCTCGGGGCTCGTGGGAGAGGAGCTCTGAGGCATACCTGCTGACACGACAGAAACGACTGCTTGGGCGGAGGGCTGCTGCATCATGAACGGCTTCTCATCAGGGCAGGGGACTGCCTCGGGGGAGGCTGGGTTTTGGTTTTCAGGTGGCATACTGGACAACTGTCCTGCTAGAGTTGAGAGCTGATTTAAAGGGTTGTCAACCATAAGTTCTTGGGGCTCCCTCGGTAGGCCACCAGTCGATGCGGTTTTTGCCATACTTTCATAGGAGTCAGACTGCATATTTGGGATCTCGTGAGTAAAATCGTTAAGGTAGTCTGGCTTCTGAACCACCATGGAAGGCGGGCTTAAGTTGATCAGTGCTCTTCTGCTATAGCCCAGATTGCTTGTTTTCTTCTGTAAAACCCCCCACATTTTCTTGCTGCTTAAGGAAGACCTAGTACCTTTAATTGGCACCATTTTATGCTTGCGCCTTCGATGATGAGACAGATTACTCCGATCACTGCAGCAGAAGGAACATAGTTCACATTTGTACGGTTTTTCTCCTGTATGGGAGCGCATGTGGGCTTCCAGATGACGTTCATAAGCAGATGCGAATGGACATAAGTGGCATCTGTGAGGTTTCTCACCTGTTTAAAAGGGAAAATGGGGGAGAGACTGCAAAAGTAGCTCAGATATGAAGAGTTTCATGTTCTGTCCATTCATTAGTTTTAGAAATTGATAAAAAATAAAGTGCTTTTCTGTTCACCATGTAAGAACTTGTTCACAATGTAAGAACTTGTTTGTTATGCTTTAGAAGATTGGAAACTGTTGAGAATTAGGCTTGGGGTTGATTAATGATTGTACATTGAGTCCCCTATACAGAATTTTATTGTTGTTAACAACCATCTGATCAATAAATATGAGAGATGCCCTCTC